AATAAAACTGTAGCCAAAACGTCATCGCGTTACGCTTGGAGAGGCCGTAAAGTATTGAGTAATGTAGTTTTTCCACAACCTGATGGACCCATAAGTGCAACTAATTGTCCTGGTTGAATTTGTCCAGAAACTTGATCAAGTAATTTTCGTTCAATAAATCGTTCTTTTGATGATGGATCAATCATTTTAGCTGGAACATTGATAACCTTAGAGACATTATGAAATGTAACTGTAATACGAGGTGATAATGCTGCTAATGTTCGAGCTCCATCAACAGACATTTGAACTTGTAATGTATCACCATCACGCATTTCTATAATATGTTCTTTTTGTGGATAAGAATCAGTTTTTTGTGTTGTATCGTTGAATCCTTCATTGACATAACTAGTAGCTACTTGAGCAGGTGGCATATTGATGTGTATTGAAGATGTGTTTGTGTTTAAATTTAATGAATAGACTAGAGAAATATCGCTGTATTTATACTATCATGAAAACGTACTTCAAAGCGAAAAAATGCATAGGATACGTCATGGTCATTTGTATAGTGCGTACTTTTCTTATATGACCTTTTTTCTATTCTTTCAGGTAAAAGCACAGATGAATCAGAACGTAAAGTACGTTCGACGACGTTTCGATCATCCTCTGAGTACGTACTAGAGAATATATCATTTAAGGATTCATCCTTACAAACGTAACCTGAAATTTTAGCAGTTTGTAAAGAATGCCTTCAATGGTATACTTGTGCAATAAAAAGTCATTGGTTTAATATTAACGGCGTTATGAATTAAATAAAGTTTTTAGGCTTTGAAGCAGTTTTTAAGAACTTTCTAGTTTTTCAGGAAAAAGTTATTTCCGGTTGATTCTTGCGTAGTTTTATAACGGATCATTTGTAGTTAGCACTAATTAGTAAAACTAGTATAAAAATGAATTTTTTCTTAGCAAACGATGCATTATGAAGACTTTCTATTGATCCATAATTTGACAAAAGTTTATTTTATTGAAATTTACGATTTCATATTAAATATTTATCAGTCATATAAAATATGATTTACGTCATAGTCTTTAATTAATATAGTATCTATAGATGAAAATGATTATATTTTATCTAATGATATTTACATTTGTTTTCTTATACAAAACATAACAATCATATATCGAAGCAAATGTAAATCACGACGATTAATATGTTGATGTCGATTATTCTTATTATCTACTGATAATGGTGGAATGATCACCGTTAGCAAAAATTCATAAATTTCTATCGATAATAGTACTTCACATGTCTAAAACTATGAGTTATAAATTTAAGTCAATAAAATAATTTCATTATGAAATTTCAATTAAAAATAAATTCTTATAGAACAAAACCGATAAACTGAAGCTTGAATTACAGCAAGTGGTACTTGTAGAGTACACGTTGCTTGAAAGTAGTTTAAAGCAACACAGACTTTAACATGAGATAAAAGATGAGGATAAAAATATACGAGGGTTAGATTGAAAAGCCAGCATATATACTACAATATATACAAGTAAAACAGGAATTAAACAAATCAAAGTTAATATGATGAAAAATATAAAAATACCGATTTGAATAAGAATTAGAATATTTGCTACTTCTAACATTATAAAAGAAAACCGACTTACAAGAAGGATTTATGTAGAAACAAAGTCTGTTTTCGTTTTACCTTTACAAAAAGTAATAATCAAGCACACAATTGATAAGATCACATTGAATAGAGAACGATTAGTCAATATTTTATATTTGATCATGTAATTGTATAGATAATAAAAATTTTCTTTCTTCTAGTAAAAACAGCTCATTAAGCTAGCTAGACGTACGCATGCTTTAGATGTTTGCAAGTATTCGACTCATCCTTCTCTATCCTTCTCTATCCTTCAATGAACATTGATTGCTTATTTAAATAACTATTATTATCCATTAGTCAATGTTCGCTTCTTATTCTTGATTTCATGCCGAGTATTATATTAACAATCAAAATAAAATTTTTATTTTTAATGACGATGAAATATTTTCTCTCGAA